TTGTAATCTCTATAAATGTTTTAAAACTTTTCGCGGAAAAATGTTTTATCACGTGATTTTAGTATCTTTATTTCAGCCATAGTAGAATAGAATACATAATTTTAGGGTGTATTGAATAATTTTAATTTTATTAAATTATGGAATCCTTAATAAATTACGGATCGGATGATGAAAGTGGAGACTGTAGTGAAAATTGCAAGGTATTAAAAAATTTTAATTTTAATTTGTTGAAGGATGCTTAGGATTTTTAATGATAATAATTAAATGTTCCAACATTCATTTAACTCCCGAGATTAATAATATCCACTTTTAGATTTTAAAAATATATTTAATTAAAATTCGGGGAACTCAATTTTTAGTACTACTTTTTTAAAATTTACCTTGTCGATTTTACATCCTACATTATGTATGCCCGTTATTAAAATATTTATGTAATCCGTAATCGAATTTACTAAAATGTATTCATTTATATTATTTCAGAATGCGATACTTAGTCGGAGTAATAAAGAAGAAGATGTCAATTATGACGAAATAGGAATGGATGAAAGCAGTGAGGTAGGAAAATAATATATTACATGGTAAATCTTAATAATTTAAATAAGTTAATTTCGAATTGATTCAGTATAAAATCAATTTTTTTTTTTTTTTTGCTATAATATTTAAATTACGTTTTATATCTAAATTTAACTTCTAAAAAACTTGTTGTATTTATGTCATGTGTGGCGTATTAAGTTTAATTTCCAAGCGGCTGTATATTTAGATTATTTATAATTATTATAATTTTTATTTGCACTATAAAATTTTAAGTGCAAATTATTTATTATTGCTTATTTTAAAATTTGCAATTATAAAAAAAAAAAAAAAGAAAAAAAAATGATTTTTATGTGAAGTTGGTATAGTTCAATTTTTCAAAAATGGTAAACATAAGTTTGCATGTTGATTAATTGTACTTCACATAAAATATAAATATATATTAGTAAGGAAATACTATTTTAAAAAAAAATTGAGAAACTGAGTACATAAAGATGGATATTAATATACTCTCTTAAATAAATAAAGTGCCATGATCAAAACTTCGAGGACTTGCGACATTCAGAGGCTCACTTGTTCAAGATTTCACTGCACAGAACGGATTCGTAACTGCATTTAAGTCTTGGTGAGTATCCACCCAACTGTATTGGCAAACATAAGGAGTAATGGGGAGTAAAAAAAAGGTTTGTAGTATTTTTAAATAAATATAAGGTACTACATTGTTTTTTTTTTTTTTTTTTTTTTTTAAATTAACCTTAGGGAATTCTTGTTATTTTTTTTTTTTTTTTTTTACTCTGGTAATCCTTTTATTTTTTGGGCTAAAGTATTTTTTTTTTTTTGTTAAGAAAAAAAAAAAAACATTTATAAATCTTTTCATATTACTTATTATTATAATCCCCTGTTACCTTAACAAGTAATGTACCTCCTTTTCCAAAATTAGTTATAATTTTTCACTTTGTTGTAAATTTTTTGTAAAATAAAAGGTTACAAAAAAGATAAAAAATTAATAAAAAAAGCTTTATATTTTTGTAATCTTATATTTATTCAAAAATGATATATTTTATTTTTCCAAAAATTAATTTTTAAATTTTAAGAAAAAAATTTAACTGTGAAATCATAATCCTAATAATAAAAAAATCATCCTAAAAATTTGTTTCCATTTAATATTTGTATATATGAAAATTAATTTCAGTTTTTTTTTCATGTTAGGAATCAAATAATAATCATGGAGAAGGTCAATTTTCTTCGAGTAACCGTGAAAAATCAACGGAAATGACTAAATTATTAGGATATTATAAAAATTCTAAAAATGAACCTAATGAAAATTCTGAAACTTGTAGTTTTGATTTTCTTAAAGTTTCAAATAAGTAAGTTATTTTTTATTTATTTATTTATTTATTTACTTATTTTTTAAAAATAAATTTAGTAAATGTTTAAAAAAAAAAATTATGAATTAGTGGAAATTTCATTAATTCTTTTTCTGTAAAAGTTCCATTTGTTTGTAGCAAAGGTGAAAACTGCGGTCAGACTTCTCAGGAAGACAATTCAAGAAGAATTCCCGTGACGTCAGATAAAAAATCTGGAAATCGCGGTGATGGAGAAGGTAAGTGTTTAATTATATCTTTTACAATTATTCAGTTATTTTCAATAACTAAACTTTGCACTAATTTATTATCCAAATTTTTTTTTTACTTTTAGGCGGGAGTACGGGAATTATCGATGATTCCTTAAGACGTCATTCCAGCGACATGGAAATGGATGATGGTGAAGATGATTTGGATAATTATCACGTTACCTCTCAGGGTAAGTAAAATTTTACTTTTAATTAATATTTTAATTTTTGTAGCATCAAGTTTTTATTATTTAATCTTCATTTTATTTAATTTAGAATCGGTTAACGCAGTCGGAGAATATAAACAAAATTATTTACATAAAAATTTTACCAAAGGAACCAATGGAGGAGACTCATTTAAAAAAGATTTAGATGGAACAGAATTGAAAAATTCGAATGAGGAAAAGTGTACGATGAATGACAAAGATGTTTATTTGAGTGAAAATGACAATTTTAATTTTGACGGGCATAAGAGTAAAGATGACAGAATGAGGCAAAGAGAAAATGATAGGAAAAGAGATGATTATAGAAGAAAAGAGGATAGGGATGGTGGTAGGAGGAGAGATGACGAAAGATACCGGGATAATGATCGTGACAGGCGGCGGGATGGTGAAAAATATAGAGATGATAAAGAAAGAGATCGGTAAGACTCTAATATTTTTTTTTGCGGTTTAATCTATAAATATTCACTCACCTAAAACTAATGCATCACTATTTTATTAAATAAAAATTTAATTTAGATTTCCGACGTGTGTTTGATAATAAAATCAAAAAATAATTATCAAGTAAATGCGAGTCTTTCATCTGTAAAATAGTTTCTTGTAAGTAATTTTGGAAAATGGTATGGAAAAAAAAAAATATTGAATTTTGTTGATGTAATGTTTTAAGAAGTTAAAAATTATATGGGGAACTTGTTGTTTTATTAGTAGTAGGAAAAAAAAAAAATTTTTTTTTTTTTTTTTTCGAATTGTCAAAACTAAAAATGTTTTAATTAATAATAATAATAAAATAAATTTAAAATAAAAAGTAAATAGTATTACAAATAATAGGGAGACAAGTGTCATTCGAACTACAAATTTAAGTTAGTTAAAAAAATAATAAAGGTTCTTTTTTTTTTTTTTTTTTTAAATAAATTTATTATTATTATTATTTTTAGTCGTGACCACGGAAGGAAAAGATCCCACAGTCCAGATAGGAAAGATAGAGATCGTGACTACGCTCGTGATCGAGAGAGAGAAAGAGACAGAGAGAGGGAACGTGAAAAAGAAAGGGATCGAAATAGAGATAGAGAAAGGGACAGAGATAGGGATAGAGACAGGGAAAGAGAAAGAGATAGGGATAGAGACAGAGATAGAGAAAAAGACAAAGATAAAGAAAAAGAGAAGGAAAAGGAAAAGGAAAAGGAAAAAGAGAAAGAAAAGGAGAAAGACAGAGACCGTCGGTCAAGTGATAGACGTTCACCAAAGCATTCGAGGAGAAGTTCTAGAAGTCCTGACAGATCGTGGAAAGCTAGAAAATTAGAGAAAAAAACTGCTGGTAAGAGTGTAATTAAGTATTTATTGAGGGCCGGTTAATACTTTTTCTATTTTCAACGTAAAAAAAAAAAAAAATTGCAATTGAATTTACATTTCAGTACTAAATAAACTTGGAATTGAAATAAAAACTGATGCTGTGGGAGATTTGACACCTAGGCAACTGCTCGGAGAACAGTTAAAAGCTCAAATTCAAGAAGTGGAAGCGAAAACTGGGGTTACCTTGCCTACCTACTATAATCCGGGAGTTATGAATCCTTTGAAATACGCTCAACAAATACAAAAAAGAAAATTACTTTGGGGAAACAAGGTGTTTATCTTTTTTTTTTTTTTCATTTATAACTAAGAAGACGTCGTATTTCAAATACGAAAAGATGCATTATGAATTTATGATTATATACAATTTAAATTTTTTTTTCTTAAAGAATAACGAAGCTAAAAATATTGAAAGTGAACATCAGGGATCTTCAACACCGTCAACTTTAAAACAGTGGGAGTCGGCTACGTTTAAAGGAGACAATGATGGAAAAATGACTGAAAAATTCAAGAGGTTGATGGGTATCAAAGGAGATAATGTAGTAGGTTTGTATAAAACTTTAAAAATCATTTAATCATAATTATTTATCGAATCTTGTGATAATGGCTATTAAAATAATGTAATTTTAAAAGGTAACGCTGCGCCTACGGGTTCAAAACCTCCTGAAACGAAAGAAATTATTCAAAAGCAAGAGGAAATGTTTTCCAATATGGAAGCTCAGTATCAGGTTGCTAGAATGGCGACTCACACTCATAGAGGAGTTGGATTGGGATTCGGAACGTTTCAGGTATTTATTTATTATTAAATGGTTGTTGTGCACCTCATTATTATTATTATTATCGAATTTATCGTTTAATCATTTTATTTTACAGGTTCCACCTCGGTAATAAAAATTTTTTTGGTTTTTTAATTCAAAAATAAAATTTTTGATTTCATCTTTATTGCACACATTAAATAAAATGTTTGAGAAAAATAAAAATTTTTTAATTTTTTTGATTTATTAGTGATTGGGGGGAAAAAAAAAAAAAAAAAAAATTAGGTTCGAAATCACATGACCCATCTTTAGTTTTTTTTTTTTTTTTTTTCAAAAAACTATCATTTTAAATTTGTTTTTATTAATTTTTTTTTTTTTTTTATTTAACGAAAGTGTGGAAATTGTATTTTATTAACATAATTCAAATGATAAAATCTGATATAAAAAAAAATGGGTTTGGATCATTTATTGGATTATCGATGGCAAAAATGGTTGCAACTTTAATTAAATTTGAATAAAGTGATCGTGATAAATGTATATTTATTGATTATTTGGTAAAAAGTTAATTATTCAAAAAATTAATTTATTTTTGTTATATATAATAAACATTTTGTTGTATTTTTGTAATATTATTAAAAACGAAAATACAATAGTTGTGTTTGTATTTTAGTTATTAATTTTTAAGTTGTGTAGTCTTATTAAGTTACTTTGGAAAAATATAATTTGAGCCATTTTTATTTTTCGTTTTTTTTTTAATTCCTGTCCGTAATGGTTGTGTTAAATATAAAATTTCAAATAAAATTATTGGATTTAAAGGAATTTCGAGTAAAACTAAAAGATTTTGCAAATTTGATAAATAATAAAACGTTTTTTTTAAATATTTTTATTAATGTGAAAAACACGGATAAACATTGATTTTTATAAAAGTACGCCAAATTCTGTGAAAGTTTTAAAAAAAAAAAAAAAGTTTGTTAAATTGCGCGTTAAGTTTTGAAACAATTTTAATAATCTTTCGTTTTGGTTCAAAGGAAGTAACGACAAATCAATGGTATGTTTTTAAAATGGCTACTGCCTTTGTATGAGATAGAATGACTCATAAATTGTTAGATTTTTTGTTTTGCCTCTTTTTTTTTCATTTGTGATATGAAATATTTTTTAAAAAAAACAAAGTTTTGTTTTAATAATAGTTAATTTTATTTTGTAATTTACTAATCAATATGGCTAGAGATTACGATCATTTGTTTAAACTTCTTATC